AGACGTCGCGCGAATGCCGTCCCAGAGGTCAAAGTGCTCAGTCGGCAGCGCCATGCCGGTTTCCTTGTCCTTGATTTGGTAATCAGGGCTGCCTTTTCTAAGGGGCGGAATGACGGGATACAGCCTCATCGTCTCCTTGATCACGCCAGCCGTATACGGCAGCGAGTTCAGGAGATGCGGCGATTCCATTAGTCTTTCCTTCAACTTTGAAGGATCCTTGCCAAAGACCTCGTCATGCTCAGCTCGCACCTTATCGAGGATCGCTGGGTGCTTGGCCAAGACGTGTATCGTCCAACAGATCACTGTCGCCGTCGTATCATGGCCTGCAAACATGAAGATCTTAAGCTGGGCCATGACACTTTCGATGAAGCCCTCATCAGGTGGGAGCGCCTTCTCGGCAATCAAGCCCTTGAGAGGCTTCATCGCCTGGTCCACCAGCGTCTTTGATTCTCCGTCGCCCTTGCGCTCGAGACATCTCATGATGGGTTGGTAAAGCTCATCACGCAGCGCAACCTTGTTCCTGCCAATTCTCCACTGACGGACGGGGTCAACGCTCCAGATCTTGTCGATAATGCTGAACCGCAGCCGGCACTGCGCAATTTGGTCCATCAGCGCGACCTTCAACTTGCTCGGGCCATCAGTCTGCTCGTGGAGCTCGATCCCCAGCGCCGCGCGCCCGATCACGTCCATCGTCAGATTCGTCGCCAGGTCCTCGAGCGTAAACACCTCGCCCCATTTCCCGTCCTTGCCAGCATTTTTCCGAAAGATGCCCGCAAACGTCTCAACGTCTTTGATGATGCCCGGGACGAGCGAGACAATGTTCTTCGGGCTGAAGGCCGGGTTGAACCGCGCGCGCCAGACCTTCCACTCGGCGCCTTCCAGGCTCGCAATATCCAGGTTCTCCGTCAGCGGCTTGACGAACTCCTTGTGCGCCCGCGGGAGATCTGCGCTGCCGGTCTGCCAAGCGACCTCAGGCTCGATGGTGAAGCACATGGGCGGGGCCATGGGCCAGAGGTCGACGTAGATGATGGGCGGGCAGGTTTTGCGACCGGGGAAGAGTGCCGGCCAGTTCTGGTAGATGAGCTGGGAGAAGTAGTTTGTGTGAATGTCCTTAGGCAGGCCGGATGTGATTTTGGTGATGACGGGTATGTGTCCGATGAGCAGGGAGTAGGGCATCATTGGCTGGAAGGTCATCAGCACTATCCTAGTGAACGTTTTAGGGGTGTCAAACTTACGACGCCCTGTCTCCTCAGTCTCCAGAACAGGAGCCGTACTTGAACGAGTTGCACCAGAGTGTAGCCGACACTGAAAACTACGAGTAGCAGAACGGCGCGAAGCCCAATCTCCGCGGGGCTGCCGCCCACGGATAGGTTGAGTATTGCCATGTTTCTCAGATGCCGTCAAGCACGACGGTGACGGCAGCGATGCGGTGCAATGTGACAAAGCTCCCCTGCAAGGGCCTACGAGGGAGCTCGTTTCCTTTATTCTTCCTCCCACCAAGGGTCCTGGCAAGGGTGAACTTAATAAGCAGGCCGCTATTGGCCTCCTGCGCGGTGAACCTCCCCGCCGCGTGCCCGGCATCTTGTCCGGAGATGGAGACGGCAAGAGGCAATGATTGACGCATGTACGGCGGGACTTGCAGAGGGGTTGCATTGAAGATGCCCCATCAATGGGGGCAGACGCATCGCACCCTTGACATGTTGGCGGTTCTCTGAAGCCCCGAATGATAGTGAGTGACGACGCCATGCATGAGTGTGTTTTGGCCTTTAATCCCATGCTCTTTGTCTTGCGAGGAAGACAGGCGCAATGTGCAGTACCGACTTTGGGAAGTTCCTAGATACGAAGGATGCTATCGTGAGCCGAGGAACGATGCAACGCGGTGGGGTCTAACGCGAGGGTCAGGACAGGGTAGCCGGCATGCGTTTAAACTATTAGGGAATGTAGGTCGGCGACACAACTAGGGGAAAGCATCCGGACGGACGTTCCCGCATAAATAACTGGGTTTGCGTGTGGTTAGTGGCTGGATGTGATATCTCTTCCAAAGCAAACCAACACAGGGTAACATCGCCTATCTAGGGTGTGGGCTGGCATAAGTGGCTACCTCGGGACCACAAAGTCTCCAACACAATGACGAAGTTGTCAACTCAAGGATGCGGGACCTCTGCACTTGCTGGGTACGCGAGTGCTTGCAGATTGCCCGCGCGATGTCAGAATAAGGACTGGCGACAGCTGTGGAGATGATTGAAATGCAGTATTCGTTATTCAAGAGGTTTTGAAGTGGGCTCTTAGCTACCATCACAGACTGATGAGAAGACGTCAGCGTGAAGCTACCCGCCGAAGAGTGTTCAGCAAGATCGGAATAGAAATGCTGGGCGTTAGCGTGCCATCTGCTGCAAGGCGATCAGCACGACCATTCTTTGTATATCTAAGGCCGTTCACCTCTGTTCATCTTTTGAGAACACTGATACTCTACGATAAGTACTACAACAAACAAGCTCCTTGCATGCTACTATATTCCTGCTGGCGATGAGATCATTTAGTCAAGTCTGGCATCGACGTTTGGTGTGATGAAAGGGTTTCCAACTCCTCAAACCTCAAAGATTTCCATCGCGTCGTGTCGATCCAGCCACGAAAAACAGTCTGCAACGCGTAGCAGAAATTGGAAGTTTTGGTATCTCTTCTTCTCGACGTGAATTTCTGAAAATTCTTCTTCCCAAAGTTTGGCTGATGTTGAGAGGAATTAGAGGAACACGTCGGGCCGCGTGTAGGCGAGTACGAAGATCGGCACCGGAGGCTCACATCCGCCGCCGTCTTGGCAGGTTTCTAGAAATCACTTTTCTCGACGAAATTCTTAAACCTCGTGGGCTCTCGGTCTACATATCGTGATATTGTCTGTGGCCGGCAAACACCTAGACCTATATTCATGCCGTACGCAGTTCTCATCGACCGAGCCCGTCAAAATCGGGGGAGTTCAATGTTTAAGGTCGGCGAGAGAAGGGAAGAAAGGCCGATTTTGGACGTCAAGGAAGATAGAAAGTCGGCAGCCGACGTGGAGTGACGCCGAAGATTGTGTCATCTGGTCGTCCGTGAACAGGCGCAGACGGGGTCTGTGAGGTGCCCTCACGCCCCCACGACACCGACCAAACATCTGATGTCGCCGGCGGAGAAGGCAGCCATTCTCAATAAACAAAACATTCCAAATGCCGCGCGCGATCGAAGATGAAAGGAACAAAAATCAAGGTGATGATCCAAACGGCGATGCATCGCCGTTGGAAAGACGCAAGTGCTCGGTCAACTCGCTATGATCTGAACAGCCCCCAAATTCCCCATGTGGCCAAACACCGCGTAAACCGCACAGCCCGCCGCTGCGGCTCAAAGCTGACAGACTTCCACCGTCCGAGCAACGGGAGGAACTACTCATCTCATGACGTGCAAACAGCCACTCCCACCTCGGGGACGCGGTGTGACACGAACGGCTTGACGGGACGGGGTGGCGCGCGATTGGGTGCGGCGGTGGTGCCCCGGAGGTCGGACACGCAGCCTGGAGTGGGTGATTGGCCGTGGAAGAAAGTATGGAAAGGCAACAGAGTTTGCGAAAGAAATCTCTCGCTCGTCATGGAACTATTCTCGGTTTTGGCCGTGTAAGCGTCCGAGATGTCAAGGTTTGCCGCCCACGCGCCTCGTGCATTGGCATTTCTGTCAAACCTAGTCGACGGTATTACGCGGACCGCTGATGAGATGCCCAATCGGCGCGGCGCTGCACTGCGTTTGTTGCTGAGAAAAGATCATGGCTATGTTGACTTTGACGTCAGGGGGAATAAGCTGTGAAGACGCCCTTCGTAAGGCCTCTCTTGGCTCGGTTGTCAGGTCAGATATATAATCCTGCCGTTACACCCGACTTACCAACTTTCTTCCAGCTCATCACCACCACACTCAGACATCACTCAAGAAGCTTTCATCGCAAATCTCTCACCACACAAACCATCTACACAACATCTCTACTCCATCAAAAACAACTCCCAATTTCAAAATGAAGACTTCCATCCTCGCCATCCTCGCCGTCGCCGCCGGCCTCGCTGTCGCCGACGACATCAAGCTCCCCGACTGCGCCAACGGCTGCCTCAACGACGGCCTCCAGAAGGCCGGCTGCACACGAGACAACATCAAGGACTGCTACTGCCAGAAGGCCGACGTGAACTCCCTCGTCACCTGCGTCAGCAACAACTGCAAGAGCCAAAACGACCTGCTCGCGGCCGCACAGTCCGCCGGCCAGATCTGCCCGAACGGCGTCGGCAACAACGGCCAGTTCGGCAACATCCCAGGCTTCCCCGGGAACAACAACAACAACAACGGCGGTGGCGGCCAGGGAGGTGGCCAGGGAGGCGGCAACAACGGTGGTAACAAGGGCGGCAACTAAAAATCTCGCATGGCACTGGCCGCTTTTGCGCGGGAATCATAGAACCGCATATGAGCTTGTTGTTTTGCTGAGCCCACCGTTCCGATTCATGTATTAGCTAGTTGACGGCACTGTTCTTTGCATTTGCTTTTCTTTTTTCTTGGGTCGAGTTTTTTTGACTTTTTAGAGATCTTTTCAATCTTAGCTCATCATCCGAACCATGTTACACAGTTGCTGAGTGATGTTGTGAAGGTGCTGATCCCATTGGATACGACTGTGAAACTGCCATCCATGTTCCATCCATCATTCGCAGTTTATACATATGTATAGGATGCATTGCTTAGAAGTGCAGACTCTAGGTTGAATGGCAATTCTTGAAGATAGGTTGCATTGCGTGGCCCCAATACGTACGGGTAAAACTCAAGTCCATTTTTTTTATGTTGGCGTGTGAATAGCTGATGGATTACAGCAGGAAGCTGGGTAGAGGCGGTGGCTTGCAGCAATACAACAGCACTAAAATACAAAACAAATAGACCAGACCATCTTGGGGCTTTGAGAATGAAACTTATAATCAAAATCATCAAAAAAGAAAAAGTAAGCAATGGGCCCTAACCAGGGATCGAACCTGGGACCTCTCCCAAGTTGAGATATCGTAGACAACCCTAAGGGAGAATCATACCGCTAGACCATCAGGGCGAACGTACTCAAGAGGAACTCTTGTTGGGGGCTCGGGCAGAATTCACTACCCAAGTTTGCTAGCGCACCTGCGTTAGGTTTCAATGTTCCGCGCTCGCTTGGGGAGCTGCTGCTGGTTCTTCTCGTCGTGTGTTGTAGCGCTCCAAAGTCGTAAAAACACGAATAAGATGAGTCGCCTTCTCTATTGAGAGTTCGATCGTTCGCGTCAGCAGAAGACGGATGACGATGCTTTGTTGTTTGTGAAGAGGAGAATGTTGTAGCTGGGGGCGAGCTGTGTCTTTGTAGCGGTGTTCTAGCGTTAGGCGCCGCCTGAAGCGGTCTGGCGGGGGCGGTCGCAGCAGCTGAACCGCTCTAGGTTGGATTTGGCACCCCTGAAGCAGGAAACCAACTCAAGCGCCCGTATGCAGGAGGAATGCGCATGGCACTTGTGCGTCCAGAATCTGCCGCGAATCAGACTTGGAAAATTGTGATTGTTTTGGGGTATTTTCTTCCATTCAACAGTGCTGTGTCAACTTGACATGTCTTCTGCTGCCCCGCCTCCGCTTTGTCTGCACTGCGGCAAGGTACCCCTCACTTACGATGATCTTCGCTCAGTCATCTCTTCCGGGGGCGCCATTCCCTTCTTCCTGCTCGGCTCATGGTCCCATATCAGCAGCAGCCCCTGTCCCCTCTGTCAACTCGTGGCACATGCCATCTTCGAGGCGCATAGGCTCTCGCCTGGTTCCATTCCTCAAGGGGACGACGAGACGTTCGCCCTCGTCTGGAAAGATGACGCGGAGCCCGGTCATCGCGGCGCATACAGCATCAACGACTCAACGAACATCGCCACAGGCCAATTCGTCTGTTTCGTGTCCGAGTTCCTCGAAACCACAAAAGTTGCGAGTGGCGCTCACTTTCTGTTGCCGACGATCAAGTCCAAGGTTGAGATTTCGAGGATCCTGCAATGGATCGAGACATGTACTACAACGCATCCCATCACCAGATGCAGAGCCCACAACTATCAAGGCTTCAAGTCAACTTTCCCTAAACTGCAAGTTCTCCGGCTTATTGATCTCGACAGTGACAGCTTGATTGAGGTGTCAGATATCCGCCCGTACAAGTATGTCGCGCTCAGCTATGTTTGGGGCGGAGTTTCCAGCTTCAGACTCACCAAGTCAACTCTTGGACGACTGCGGCAACCTGGCTCAGTCTCCCAAATACGCGACAGGTTGTCGCTAACAATACTGGATACCATGAAGTTGGTGAAGCTCCTCGGACTTCGCTATGTTTGGGTCGACCTTCTTTGTCTCATACAAGACGACCCAGAGGACCTGAGGAGAGGAACAGCTGTGATGGACAACGTCTTTGAACGGTCGTGGCTTACAGTCATCGCCGCCTGTGGAAATCATGCGAATTACGGTCTGCCAGCAGTGACGGGAACGCGGGCCCCGCAACACGCCATGCGAATCACAGACAAGACGCGCTTGGGGCTGTACACGCCACTCGACTGGGCTCTTGCGGCAACGGTCTACCAGACTAGAGGATGGACGTAAGGCATACCTACTCTGATATCTTATCAAAGACTGATAAACAGAGGCAGGTTTCAAGAGCAAGCTCTATGTCAACGAGCACTCTGTTTCGTCGACAACAAAGTTTTCTTTCGGTGTGGAAGCGACGAGTTCAGCGAGGCATGCTTGGACCAGCCAGTCGCCAAGAAGAGACACGAGTGGGAGGAGCCATGGTCCCCGCCCCAAGCGTTCCGGCTCAAGGACCCAGTGCGCGACTGGGAAGATATCGTCAGTCGCTACTCTGGCCGCGCTCTCACGGATCAGAGAGATGTCCTGCGAGCCGTCGAGGGGATCATGCGCCGCGCAACAGAGAAGGGGAACATCCGGTTCATCGAAGGTACTCCAGTCCAGGCCATCGATTTCTTTCTACTTTTCGGGGCTGGTTTCACCTCGATGACTGCGAGGAGGCGCCGGGAAGGTTTTCCCAGCTGGTCGTGGTCGGGTTGGGTGGGATCTAGTCGCGTTCGTCCGAGCCAAGGACATGTCTTCTACCAACTTCATCACTGGCTGAAACAGAAGTGCTGGATACTGTGGTATGAGAGAGGGGTCGATGGAGAGTTGAGACTCATCACTGATCCTGTCCGCAACTCACCAAGCGGACCTCGCTACAGGGAGCGCTTCACGAGCCAGCTGCCTAGTGGCTCAGACGCCTTTCGCACTGCACCGTCCTTATCACCAATCGTAACACCCGGATACTCTGTTCTGCAGTTTTGGACGTTGGCCATCTTTCTGGAATTCTCAAGAAGTATTTCCTGGTCTGAGGGTGATCTTCGAGGGGCAGATGGTCAGATTTGCGGGGAATTGACGGTAGACAGTATCGAGGAGATGCCCACCTTCGAGCACGCAGGGCCATATGAGATACTCCTTCTATCAGAAGCTGTGTCGACTCCTCATCCTCAAACCCGACAGTCTGAGTATGATTACAACGTCATCCTTGTCAAGCGGGACGGGGATTACGCGGAAAGGCGCGGGATCGGGCATGTTCGTGAATGGGCCATTGGCACAAGTTTTGCGCCAGGGCCAATTTGGAAAGAAATTATGTTGAAGTAAAGCTCAAGCACGGATTTCAATAAAACACGTCTCTAATATGAAATTTTCTATGGGTATAGGTTGGCTCGCCTGCATGCGAAAACGTCACCATATGACTGTTGACAGGACTGACGTTCATTTGCTGCGCATCTATAAGACTCCGAAGCTCAACTGTTCCCACTCAATGCTCATGAAGTCGAAGATCGCCTGCAGAAATGCCTTATTTGGGGCAGCAGTGACACTTATTCAGGAAATTAGCGGACGGCCAGAATGAAAAGCTCATAGATAATCATAGATAAACGTACACGGACGGCGCCTTGATTGACACCTGTGACGGTTTGAAGACAGCCACCGTCGACTCTCTCAGTTGTAGCACAGATCTGCTTTCCACTCAAGAGGTTGTTGCAGGCAGATATAGGGGACTAGATGGCACTCGTTAGTCGTTGGGTGAGCAAGATTTACCATTTCACTTACGCAGGGGTAGATCCGATCTTGACAATTATCAGCAGACACGAGTGGTGCCACCAAGAGCACCACAAAAGCAGCCACGTTTGTAAGATGCATTTTTGTAGTGAATGAGCAAATTGGCTGCAAAGTCTAGATGTTGAAATACCGAATGAAGATAATGGACGGTCAAAGTTCCTGCGTGAAAGCGCAGGAAACCTGAGGAAAGCTGAAACAGTTACGCAGCCGCTTCTTATTGTTCTGGTAATGCAATTCAGGCTGAGACTACCATGGACTTCCAACGTTTTTCACTGACTCGAAGTCACGGACTGCTGGTGACGCCCGTAAAACGATAGTCTTCGCGATGTGGGGAAGTCTTGATTAAGACAGAAAGTTTAAGTCTCCCAAGTTGCCGAAATAGACACGGAAAGGCAAGTCAACCACGAGGAATGGTTCCAATGGTTGACTTCTACATTTATATGATCCCCATGAGCGGGGGTCAGCCCTACCCAGAAGACCTTCTAGATTTCAGCCGGAAACCACGGAGGTCTTAGCCTGAGTTCGTACGAGCTTTGCTACGTTGTTTGGCGTCGGTAATACCAATGGACGGCAAACATTGCATAGGCTTTATGTAAGATAGGTATTAGTAGTAAGCCGCGTGGCCACCAGTGTTCACAGCAATGCGGCTGCCTCAGCAAACCATCAGACAACGACATGGTGAGATGCGATCATCATAAGCCCCGAGTACGGCATCATGCTAACCAAGCTCAACATTCTACATATCAAAGGCTTGATGATTCAATCCAAAGCCTGCTCACAGAAGACAAGGCATCACAATTTCAAGGGCGCACAGCATTCTTTTAGAGGGACATATGAGATTTGTATTCAAGGCCAAGTGGCCGTAACCTCATTGAAGAGGAAAGAAGTAGGTATCGTAGACATAGGAGAGTCGTTTCATCGTACTTCTCAGTCTCCGTGAGACGAGAGGACTTTCGTTTCCGTTTTCATCATTTTTTTGTTCATTTCGTTTCGTTGATTGTTTCATGTCGTAAATGTCGTTGAAGTGAGTGAGACCGCGTCGAATGCGGCCGGGCTCGGGGACTTGCTCAGCGTAAACTTGCTTGTTACGCTCAGCACACCCCGACGTGATAAGTAGTAGGGTGTGTCGGATGTTTCTCTTCTTTGTGGAAATTCCAACACGGCAATGATATTTTTATCTTCGCGTGTCGGCGGTTTGGTGGGTTGCGCAAACCGCCGCCGTGGTTACATGTAGCTGGCCCACGTCTGGACGGTCCGCAGGTGCAGACTGGCGAGACTAACGGGGAGCTCGAGCGGAGCGTGCTTGTTCTTGGCGGCGGGGCCGTTGAGGCAGGAGGCCGGGATCTTGACGGTGAAGTCTTCGAAGCTGGATTCGGCGCCCGTGCCGGCAAGGCCGGTCGCCTCGAGCTTCTCAAACTCCTCCCTCAGGCTCTCGACGTACGAGCTCTCTCTCTGGGCTGGAAAGATGTTAACACGATGGTGTCAGGATGTTGAAACTGAGGATGGAAAACGCACTCTCAGAGACGTCGGTCCTGTTGTCAAAGTCGACGGACCAGGTGTTGTCCGGTGCCGAGACAATCTCGGCGGGGCACCCGGCGGCGGCGGCACCCTGCTTCTCGGCCGAAAGACCGAGGAGCATGGCCAGCAGCACCGACAGGAGCCCCATCAGCCTCTGCCACGAGGGCGAGGCCTGGGCCATGTTGGATGTCGTTGGGTGGGTTTCTCGAGGTTGATCCTCGGAAGAGGGTGTCTTCAAAAAAGAGAAGAAACAACAAGAGATGCGGGCACCTGCACGTCTTTAATAGGCGGTCGGTTGGTTCACTCGTCGGCGACCCGGGCAACGGACACAAACGCCTGGGGTGCGCAATGAGCGGTGGACATCGTGGGACCGGTCAGCCACTCGTTTTCTGACTCTCTGTCGTGCGCCCTGCGGAATTCTCT